CACACCGTCATCCTTTTCGAGGGTGTAGCCAACTTTCTTGTACGTCCATGACTGTTCCGGTTTCCCCTTCTCCACCTTCATTCCCATTCCCGTCCCCGCTTTCTTTCGCTCATCGCCGTCGGGAACTTCCTTGACATGATGCCAACTCGCATTGTACACAGACTCGTAATATCCCTTCAGTATGAACATCCTTCAGCCGTCTTCGTTGAATTCCGCGCCTGAGAGAAGACTATTTATTATTCTCTCCTGCGTGAGAATCGATTATATACCTGTTTTCGTAGTTGGATTGAGTTAAAGCCGAACACTAACCAATAATCAAAAAAGGAATAGGAGTAATAGACAAAGGTCACAGGCATGACTGACAGCCTCAGCAAGAGAGTCATCCACACAGTATTCGATAAAAACCACATGCACAGGACAACCGCAACGACGGCGCGTGGGTGCCAACCACCCAAAACAGTGTTGGAGAGAGCAAACAATAACAACAACGTGGTGCGCACGAAGGGTTCGCCCACGCATACCGCTCGCCACGGTCCAGCACCCCTGTGGCACCGCCGTCACCGCACACACTCTGCAAGAGGACGTAGGCACATCGCCACGGGCACAAACACACAAAAGTGGGAAGAGAATTCGGTGCAGCAATGGCCACACGCAAGAACCACAAATCATACACACCGCAACAGCGATGCATCACGGTAATCCCCCAAACAACAGAAAAGAGTGCAATTTGCATGCTTTATGGAAAATATCTGCGGTGTGCACGGCAAAAGAGTGCCGTGACGCCGCCTTTCATATTGCATTCGCCATTCACGTATCACTGGGAAGCACGCAGCCACCACTCCTCCGTTCCGCTCCCCGTGCTGCTCGTGTCGCTCCACTGGAGGAAGTTGTCACCGCACATCCCCATCACCGTGCATTGCGGAATACAAACCTACCACACGGCATGAGTGCGGTGCCACCCCGCCAATAAATCCCAGGAAATACCCCACTGCCTCGTGTGGCACGGAGGGCAGTATCATTATGCCTGCGAAAGGCTTTTTTTCCAAGCAAGAACGCGGCCCCAGCACACGCCCATAAGAACGTTTGTTCCATCGCACGCAAAGGAGCTGAGCGGGAGAACAGCAGGAAAGACAACACCGGCAGCCATGAGCAGCACGCACACGCCAACGCACCGCTGCCCCGCATATCACCAAAAATAAAAATACCAAAGAAACATGTAACATCCCAACTACAAATCTCAGGTGCGGTTGCAGCACACACTCCCACCTCCTGGGCGTGTGCGGCCCCTCGCTGCTCGGCGCTCTAAGTGGGATCACCAAAAGCACCAATTCGGGAACATTCGACCACCGCCACAGCAGTCACGCTCCCCATTTCTCACAAAGGCGAAGGCTTGCAGTGGCGCAGCGGACGGCGGCATGCACAGTCGCAGAGTAATGGACTGCCGCGGGAATCACGCAACGGCGATGCGCCCCTCCTTTTGGGCCTCCCAACAAAAAACATTTGTCGCGCAGTTCCCGTGAACAACACACATTGAACCGTATTCAGCTCCTCTACTGTGGCCATCCGCACACACAGCATGAGTGTGACAACGCAGGCCAGGAAGCACGGAATAACACTACGCATCCCTCCCATAAAGGTCAGGCGGCGTCCGTGCTGCCTTCAACAATAATTCCACCCCACATAACCCCTCTGCATATCCGCAGCAAAAAGGCCCACACGGTGTACACCACATTACAATTTCCTAAAGCGCAAAACCGGATCATCAGAGCGCTGCCGTATTCTCAATGTTGGGTAGAGGCTCTCTGATCCTTGTCGCCGCCAGCCTGCGGTATTATGGAGGGGCATTGCGTTCTCGGCATATCTCTCCATTTACTTCACTTTCCCGACGCCGCAAATGAACTGACGTCCCACAAGTGATTTCGACCGGTCTGAAGAAAGTAACGTATCAGACGCGCTGAAACTGTGTGCGTGTGTGTTATTACGGGCGAGCGACACGATGCTCTTGCACATCCATGTATTCCGATCCTGCGCAACACCCTATTCAGTGGTGCGGAAAGCGTTGGACAACAAACGCGCACAAATCGCACAATGAATGCCTCTGGAGAACAAACCCCCCATTTACGTCACCACAGGCACCGTGACAACAAAGTAACAAAAGAAATCCAACCTCTGCGCGTCCTCCCGCAAGAAAGTGAAGACACACACGCTTGTCCCCTTGGCCTCACTCCAACTCCTCAAAAGTTGACAGGTCCATGGCAGGAAGGATCACGCTACTCATCCCTCGCTCACTGTCACAAGGCATGGCACTGCGCATCTCCAGTGCATCTGCTTCACCCACATACGTCCCTTTGGGGGAATCGCCTCGAGAGTCACCAAGCACGCGCCGCTAGAAAGTGTACTCCCAGTCTATGCTGCTTCTCCTGAGCGACCTTGCTGCCTTGCCGCACAAACAAGTCCACAATTTACGCATTATGACTGCAGGCACGTGCCCGTGGGGATTCCCGCCCTTTCCCTCAGCCTTGCAAAGGGCGTGCGCCATACAAATGCCGGTCATGGGGCAGACACACACAGGCGCCGATACCCGTGACAATGCGTGAGATACTCGCCGCAGAATGAGGCGCCGCAGGTCTCCGCTCACTGATCCAGATTGACCACGCTGAAGCCCACAATTCCCGTGGGTTTGGCATCCCAATAGTTCGTCGTGTTCGTTGAATTCCATGATGGAGGAGTCCCAAGCAAACAAGAACCAAGAGCCTGGACACTCTGTGGAGTCAAAAAGATAGAAAACACGGACTGGCGCGGGCACAGCTAAGCGCCATGGGAGAAACATCTCAGCTCACCCCATGGAAAACACTTCACCAACATCACTGCAACATTGGCCTCTTGCTTCGCGGGTGTGTCACTTCTCTCTTCACTCCGTGCCAGCCTCCGTCCAATTCCCCGCCCACCAGTACTACGCGTCACACTGCGCTGCTTCCGCACAATCACACCTCGCGGCCAATCATCGTGACGCACCTCAAACTGCAGTCGCATCCAACCTCGAAAGCCCTCGCACCCTCTTCCGCCCTCCTGTGTGTCGAGAGAAGACGTCCCTCTCGCGGTCTTCGCGTCCTCCCCAATAAAGCTCTGCAGTTGTGCCCAAACATCACCGGGTCTCTTGCCAAGAAGGAAGCCGTGTGCGACGTGACCAATGTGAGCATACACAAATTTAGAAAACGGTTTATAGGCTCTCTGGAGTGGCCTGCGTGCGCCCGCATGCACGATGGGAACACACACGGTGCGAGTCGGGCGAGATCATCGTTCCAGCTCGCATCTCCGCCAGGTGAGTCGTTGACGGTTCCATCCCGCTTCACGACAGGTCGAATAACAGTGCACACGTAAGTGGCTGTGCTCTGCATTCACATGTGGTCCGTCTTTTGGGTCCAACGTCGTCAGGTGGTGGAAAGAGACGAGTCGTATTGTCATTCTTCCATTTGCTGCTGCTCCCGCCTCATTTCCCGTAAGGAGCCGCTGATCCCTCTCACTTTGGCGATAAAGGGTCCTCACGCATGGGATGCATCCTGCCTCGTGTGGCATGAGGAACAGCAGAGAGTCCCCAACGTTGCCAATGCGGGATTGGCCGTCCAGTGCGGTGAATACAACACGCTGGATCCGCCGGAGGATCGTCGTGCACACTTCACTCCGCCCGTGGCGGATACAATCCTCGGGCAGTCACGCCTGTGCAGAACAGAACACCCTTTTGGAGAACGCCGAGCAGCTCCACCGACGTGTCGGAAAAACTCACAAAAAGAGGGCCGGTCAACCTGCGACACATTACCGTACAACTTTAATATCCTGACATCGAGAAGAGCGTTTCTACCTGAGAGTGTTCGGCCCCATCATTATCATCATCACTGCTCAAATCATCTCAACAGGCAACAATGGCATCGTTCTCGTATTGCTCATGCCCGTTGGCCTCCTCCACCCGCCGCCTCACGTCCGTATGAATAAAGTCTCGTCATGCACAGCGATGCGCCCCCTCTTTTCAGATAAATACCAATATTTTATACTCACCAAGGTAGCAGATCAGTTCCCCCTCCACAGGCACACCTCATAGAGGACGTCCTTCTGTTCCCTTTGCCGAACCAACGCACCGCACCCAGTGGATAAGCCCTGGTAGTTTCACCAAAAAACAAGTGTTCAATCCCCACAGCAGCGAATACTCTGTATGATATGAAACGCACAGCTTGTTGTGCTAGTGCACCGCCTCGACGGCCGCCTCGCAATGGTGCAAAGGTGTCATTCCACTGCCTGGGTGAGGCCTAAGCCCCACATTACACGCACACAGAGAAGCACACGGCGCATTTGAAAATATATTAATATTTTTTCACGGCACATCTATGGGAAGGAGCACCACCCCCGTATGCATGTTGGCAAAGCAACGGCCCCACAACGGCGGTGCTAAAAAAACGCATCCAGAAACAGAGGAAAGAGAAGAGGGGTGTGGAACGCCCACAAGAAATGATGGATAGCCCACCTAAAACTGGCAGCAAAGAAAAGGAAAAAAACAGCAGTAGTAGTGGTGGTGACCATCATTTCCTTTTTTCTTCACTCGCTAATAACCCAAACACGTGGGGTTCAAAAGTCCACTTCACACAAAATTGTGCGGCAGTTAGCCTCTCTCCAACCAGCCGCCTCAATACATCCAAAAGAGCACACAAGAAAAGCACGAATAGCCATGGGAAAAAAAGAGAGAAAAACAATAAAAGATCCCACGGCATTAGTACGGAGGCGGAGCGACACGCTTTTCGCACAATTAGTCGTAAAGTCGGCCAGAGCAAAAGAGATCCAGGCCCGAGCAAACTCGGACGCCACAGGCGGTTATTGTGCTCCTTTGAGACTTTTCAGCCGGCTCCTGTTC